ACGATATTTTTACCTTTTATCGATTTACTAATCGATTTACTAATCGATTTACTAACTATCATATAGGATTATACAAAGCGCATTCTTCCGCTTCTTAAAGCAAAGTCGTAGCAAATCGATTATATTCTTTATAAAGAAAACCAAGCAAAGTAAATCAATCGAAAGTAGCTACGGATTTACCTCTCGATAAGCAAACTCAAGATAATATAGATTAGAACGTTCTTAATAATATAGAAAACGAAAACGATTCAGAAAATTCAGATTCGAACGGTACGAACGAATCGACTAGCTTTGAACGCTATATAAACCACAAAAATAAAGTGCAACGAGGTACGATATTATATAATATACGCTTTTATTTAAATATAAATTCTAACTTAAATATTAGCGATAGCAAATTTATGCGATCAAAACGATTCGAATGATATTTCTCAACAAAATTATTTTAACGCGAAAGAAATATCAAGCCTTAAGCAAAGTGATAAAAGGATAATAAGTAGAAAGGAAGCTGATAGAATACCGGACTCGGCTTCGCTATCCTATAGAACTTTAAATGCCGCTTAAACTCCGAAACTTAGTATTTCGAAACTTAAAACTCCTTTAATCGTTATTTAAAGTCAAAGTAAATCAATTATTATATATAAGTTTAACGACTTTAAATCTAATACTTTTATAAGCGAACGAATTACAAATCTATTATCAACTTTAAAGCGCAAACGAATAAAAGAAAAAGAAGATGATGAAGCGGGATTAGTACAAGATAAAAGGAAAGAAGCTTCTTTTGGAATCAAGCGTTTAATTGCAAAGAGTATCGCTCTTGCTAGGTTTTATAATTAGCGACTTTGATTTTATTTACTGAATTGCTTTTTTTGTATCATTAAGTTTTTGTATTTATTTATTTACAATTGATTGTAATGATTAATTGAATTCTTTTTTATCGATATCTTTAGTTTTTTTATTATTATTAATATATTTATATCGACCTTAGCTAGCTAGCTAAGAATACCGGTAATAGTAGTTAAAAGAAGAGTTCACTCGTGAACCATGGTTCATGGGTCAGTTACGTGTAGTAGCTTTACGTACGCTACGTATGGCAGCCTTACGTGGGTTACGTGTAGCAGCCTTAAGTACGTTAGGTGTGGCAGGCTGGCAGCCTTACGTAGGTTACGT